GCTATAGGCAGACGTATTAGGCTAGAGCCTATTCCGCGCTCAAGCTCGCGCATAAAGCAATTGCCTCAAAGCACCGGCAAAGTGATTATGAACGTGTCGGGGGAAAAGAAGACATTTTAATTATTTATTAATAAACTAGTGCTTTCTGAGTCAGTGTCGGGTGCAAAGATGAGGTTGCCGAATGCCGACGCTGACTCGCCATCTCCACATGGACGTGCCTTTAATAGAAATGCACCTTTTATACGGACTACAAAATTAGAGAATATTACAAAATCGAGTGGGCGAGTTTTCCTTATATTTATTTTATTATTCATATAAAAATTATAATAACCTGTTTTGGTTATATTTACTATTAATTGCAGAAGGTGCGCTCAGCAAAAATGACGCGAATATTGATGGTTTTCACGCTTAAGTCAAGTAAAAGACCGCTTCTTAAACCAGAGAAGGTGAACATGTTGGTATTCTCGTGGGAAAAACAGAAAAAAACATGCAAGCAGTGTCACCGGCAGCAAGTTTAGTTATACTTTTCTTCTTGAAACCTGGTGGATTTTTGTTAAATGTGAGCCAAAATCATCACAATTAAAAGAACCAAAGACTTAAACTACTTCAGTCTGTGTGCATTGAATTTATTTAATACACGAGTTTCACAATTTGAGGTGAATTACTGAAATAAATTAACTTTTCCACGACATTCTGTGACGTGCAGTGATCTAAAAATGCAGAGGATGCGATTCACAAATGAATGCCTGGCAAAGCTGTGTTTGTGACATAAAAAGATATTTGTTAATGTTTATTTTTATTTTTTTTTTGCAAATCTCATTTTATTTATTTGTGAATTTAATTTATGTTTGTGAAACTAAGATTTATTCGTGGATCTCATTCTATTTATTAGTGAATTTAAAAAAATCTCTTTACATTTATTTGTGGATTATAATCTATTTATCTGGATTAATGCAACAAAACAATCTCCATATGTATGGCTATATATACAGCACACTTTACTTTTGGGATGGTACTCTGCATGTGATGAGCAGTGCCTGGTTTCCTTCAAACATGATGCTTGGAATTGAGGTTCATCAGACCAGAGAATATTGTTTCTCACAGTCTGAGGGTCATTTAGGTGCTTTTTTGCAAATTCCATGTGTGTTTTCATGTGTCTTCACTGAGGAGAAGATCGAGTCTTGCCACACTGGCATAAAGCCCAGATCGGTGGAGTGTTGCAGTGATGTTTATCCTTCTGTAGATTTCTCCTATCTCCGCATATGATCATGGAGCTCAACTAGAATGACCATAAGTTTCTTGGTCACCACACTAACCAAAGCTCTTCTCCATCAATTGCTCAGTTTGGCCAGGAGGCCAGCTCTAGGAAGAGTCCTGGTTGTTTCAAACTTCTTCCATTAAAGGTAACAGGGACTACATGCT